CCCACTCTCTCCCAATGTACAACAAGCCATGCCAGGGCAACGGACGCCTGTCCGCAGCGATGCGCATGTCGGCTTCAGCCTCTAGGAGAAGTGAAGACACTCTCCTCACTGGTGAATGAAGTAGGGAAGAGCGCGGGGAAGCGGAGCTCACCACCCCAGACTCGACAATGTCTAACTACAGATTGCTATATTCACGACAGGACGGTCTAAATCGAGTCTCTCTTCAATGCTCCTCAATTGACATGTTCAGCATGATAATGTATTCGAGTCCTCTTCTGTATGTATGCATGCCTTGAGGATCGGAGGACGTCTTTGGTGAATATCGGTGTCTGAGAAGGCGTAGTTACCTACCGTGCCAACCGAGGTAGGTACCTAGAGGTAGGTACCCAAGGGACCACCAAAGAATGGTACACGTATGTCGCCCAGAAATGGGGCAGGAGCTCCACCCAAGATGACCCCCAACTTGGGCTAAGGTACTACGAGGTACCTGCCTTAGTGATGCCCCCAATCATGAGCCAGCCCACGTCCCTGAGGTGGAAGGAGGACAGGGGGTCAACGCCTGGCCGAGTTTTGGTAAAGTGTCCTCAACCACCAAAGCTATCGCATGCCAGCAGCTGCCCACCATCGCTCGAGACCACGATTTGGAGGAAGACGAGACGAGACGAGAGCAAAAGAGGTCACCATCTCGGACCGTACCCGCGGGCCATAACATCCACATGCGACTTGATCTCGGCCGGTGGTAGACAATTGACTTGCGCCTACCCATCGCATTCCCAGCGCTGCAGCGCTCAATCGCTCGACTCGACAGCCAGACCTTTGGTCCACCCACAATGGACTTCCACGAAAAAGTCATGGACGAAGACGCCTTTGGCGCAAAGGGCAGCATCGTCAGTGCATTTGATGCCTTTCGTAAGCAAGCAATTCCTCATGCATTGCGCGCCTGTCTTGACTCCTGTGCCGACTGCTGACGCATCTTCTTTCTCTCCTCGATAGCCAAGTCGAAGCCTCAATATGTGCAACGAACATCTGGTGGTGGCAAGTGGACCGTTGCCATGGCCGTCATCTCGGTCATGCTGTTCTGGTCCGAACTTGGCCGGTGGTGGCGCGGCTCCGAGAGCCACACGTTTGCGGTCGAGAAGGGCGTCGGTCACGACCTGCAGGTCAACCTCGACATCGTGGTCAAGATGCGCTGCGAGGACCTGCACGTCAACGTACAGGATGCGTCGGGGGACCTGATCCTGGCGGCGACGAAGCTGCGCGAGGAGATTACGAGCTGGCACCAGTGGGCCGACATGACGGGCAACCACAAGCTGGGACGCAGCCCGTCGGGCCGCATCGAGACGAACAGCGGCTACCATCTCGACGAGGGCTTCGGCGAGGAGCATGTGCACGACATTGTGGCACAGAGCAAGAAGAGGCAGAAGTGGGCCAGGACGCCTCGCCTTCGGGGTCCGCCGGACAGCTGCCGTATCTTTGGCAGCCTGGACCTCAACAAGGTGCAGGGCGACTTCCACATCACGGCTAGGGGCCACGGGTACCAGGGCGCAGGACAGCATCTGGACCACACGAGTGAGTACCTCCCTTGAAATGTGGTGTTTTTTTTTTGGTATGCGTAGTGCATGGCTGACACGAGACGGTCTCGCAGGCTTCAACTTTTCGCACATTGTCAACGAACTCTCCTTCGGCGCCTTCTACCCCAACCTCGAGAACCCGCTCGACAGGACGGTCAACCTGGCGCCGGCCAACTTCCACAAGTTCCAGTACTACCTCTCGATCGTGCCGACCGTGTACACGGTTGGCAGGTCGGCGTCCAAGGCCAACACGGTGTACACGAACCAGTTCGCCGTGACAGAGCAGAGCAAGGAAGTCGGCGACCACAGCGTGCCGGGCGTCTTCGTCAAGTACGATATCGAGCCGATTCTGCTGCTTGTCGAGGAGACGCGACCAGGCTTCGTGCAGTTCTGGCTCAAGGTGATCAATGTTCTGAGTGGTGTTCTCGTTGCGGGACACTGGGGCTTCACTCTGAGCGAATGGTTCAAGGAGAACTGGGCCAAGAAGAAGGAGAGGACGCAAGGCTTCATCGGAACGGGCAAGGGGGACTATGACCACTGAAAAAGAAGCCTCGTGGGATACTCGTGGGATACCCTTGGAAAACGGTACGTGGCGCCGGCGGCTGCCCGGGGCGAACATGGAGGGTTCAAGCTGTACACAATGCACTTTTCATATATATGGTACTGGGAGTTTAGAACGGTACGGAATTTATATCAAGACCATTCATTTTACGCCGTACATGGCTGAGCTCGCAGTCGTGTGTCCGTGGTGTTCGGAAACCAGGTCGAGCCGAGGTCGGAGGTCGGGATTCGGGCACAAGACAACCAGCGACCGGGTGGACTGGTTCCAACAGGGCCCGTGGCTAC